GCTGAAGGCAGCTTTCGTGCCCGTTGGGAAAGGCCTCCTTGCCTCATGAGCGCATTTAGCTTTGAAGTCATGGCCCGTAATTCGTGTTTTTTTTATCTTGGCTCCTACAAACTGCGTGTTTAACAAGTTTCTGCTGTTGGCTTAATAGCAGCAGCAAAGTTGAAAGTTCTTTTTTTGCTGAAATGGAATTTAGAAATACAGGCCGACGTATTTATAATCGGCACAGTGCGGTGTAATATCTCCCCACTGTTCTGTCCTGTTACGAGTTTTATTGCCAACTTTCAATGTACAGAAATGAGGGAACTGCTTACATGGTTTTAAAAATGTCTGTGTGTATGTATGCCAAGATCCTCATCTACAAGACTTTTTATATAAAACTGCTGATAACAGTTGAACGGCAGAAGCAGTTGCTAGGAAAATAGGGATCCTGGCCTGATAGCTTGTGTAATGTTCTCTGCGACAGAACCGGCTTGCGTAACGCGCTGCGGGACAGGGGTTGAACCTGGCAAACGAGTTGTGTGTACAATACTTTTAAGGCCAAAAGACGCCGAGGGAGTTGTCGTGAGCTTCGGATCCAGTTGGCCTGGTCACAGCAAAGAACGTGTCGGTCTCTGTTTATTGGAAGTAGGGCAGGTGACCGCCTCGGGTTAGAAGGCTAATTTTTTGAATACTGAAAAGATGTAACTAACTTCCAGTAATAGCAAATTGTACAGATTTGGCTAAAGGAGTCTGATTTTTTGTTTGTTTTTTTTAAAGCTGTGTTTTGTTAACGGGATGTTCTAACGCTGTGTTTTGTTAAACGTGTGCTGTCTCCTCAGATTTGGATTACCTAGTTCCAAAGGCCGGCTTTTTCTGTCAGATCTGCTCGCTCTTCTACGCAGATGAAACATCTGTGAAAAATCACTGCAAGACACCGCTTCATCAGCAAAACATGGAGGTAACGCTGAAGCCTCTCCAAACGCAGAGGGGAGAAACGCGTATCGTTCTCAAAATGTTTGCTTTAACGAGCGCTGATCATTTCCTAGTGGCGCAGGGAGCTCGTGTGAATACTGCAAGGCGTTTTAGTTTTAAACTCGGGCACAGATACTATTAAATCACTCCAGCTCATCACCTGCATCAAGCCTTCCTTACCCTGGGAAGGCGTGGGGGTAGCTCATGGCTTCCCTTCATTTTTAAGAAGTGATTTTTAAAAACTATGCGGTGTTGTGTCCGAAAGCATGGTTCTGTCAGGTTTCCCAGCTTGCCGCAGCTGCAGGCTGGCTAAAATACCCTGCAGATACGAAATGACCAAAAGGTCAGCTTGGCGGCCAGAAAACAGCACTTTTCTAACGGAGGCGCTGACGTGAGGGGTAGAAAAGTGGGAAGATACTTACCGATGTAGGCTTTTGTAAGGTGGGCGTAATGACTACACAGCCCCTGGTGAATACTGAATCGCTGTTTTTACGTTTCGTGACCAGGCCCGGGTGGTGTCTTTTCACATCAGGTGAAAGCCCGATACCCAGTATTTTGCCACATTCCGCTCGGGAGCTTCCCCGCTCGGTGACTCCGTGTGTGTCGGTTTGTGAGCAAAACGTTGGGGTGGTTTTTGGCACAGATCACGCGCTACCGGTCTAAGGAATAGGCTGGCTTTTGGCCGACGCACGTATGAAACCTGCACTGGTTTTAGAGCGTGATCTTGTTGCGGACTGAGGAATAACGTGGCGGTATCTTTTCACTGGCTGCCCTTATTTCCGCAGAAGTTCATGGCCAAGCAGAAGGATGAGGAAAAAGTTCAAGGTGATCAGAGGCAAGAAGAATCCTTTTGGTGAATTACATTTAGGGTCCAGTCAATTTTGTGTATTTTGTTATGATCTGATTTGTAATTTTGTTTCAGAAACAAGCATTCATGTTGTGTAAATTTGAGCTCAGTGTAGACAGACTAAAAGAAAAACGTCTGGTGGCTTTGATTTGTATATCAAACCGCCTGACTTGGAAGAGACTTCTTTTACAAGTGTCGACATGAAATAAATGTTCTTACTGTATAGTTAACACCAGGGGATTGTGTTTGGTGTGATTTGTTGTGTTCTGTTAACTCTGGATCACAGTAGAGCCTAGGAGGGGGTTCATTCCAGAGATCTCTCTCCGGTGCCGCTTCCCAGAGCTCTCGGCAGGCGACATTTCCCGGGCTACGTGTGCCCCGTGCTGCCCCAGCGCGGTGACCCTCCTGGTGAAGACTGCAGCGATCCTGTGGATCCTTATGCTCCCTGTAGCTGTCTTTTTCCTGCGGCCTCTGCGGGCTCACGATAGGCTTGGGAAGATAAAGCCGAGGCGGGCGAGGGGAGCAGCGTGCCTGTCGTCACTGCGGTCAGCCCGGGAGGTCGCTCTCCCTTGCCGTTTCTCCCCGGGGACCGAGTTTGCTGCTTTATTTTGGGCTGTTTTTCCCTGCTTTGTTCCAGTCCGTGGGTCAGAGGCCGTGGAGCTCAGCAGCATGGCTGAACTTTGTAACCTGCTCGCGGACGTCGCTCGCTGCTAAGCCTGGGTCTCTGGCTGGCCTGCTCTGAACGGTGGGTCGCGGTCTGGACGATGACTGATTTCGCTTGGAGCTTTGCTTTTTCAGCTAGCCACCTTGCATTTATTTAAAAGACTGGTTTTTAAAATCCACGGTTGCCTTTGCTGCTCCTTCAGACTTCTGGTAGCTGACTTTGGCTGAATTATGTTCCTGCAGGAGGAGTAAAGAAGTGTTTGTAAAGGAGGAGTAAAGCAGTGTCCCTGCCTGTCCAAGGAAAATGAGAGGCTTTGTGGTTCTACCTGGTGGGGCTGTTACAAGTCGTACCTGTGCCATAGCTGCTGCAAAAACCCTTGTGCCTTCTTCCTTGTGTCTTCAGACCGCTGATCAGTAAAGCACCAAAAGAAACCGAAGTTGGGGTTTAGCAAAGGAAGCACCCGCGCGTCGCTGCTGCGAAACGCGTTCCGTGATGGGAGGTGATCCCGTGAAGTCCCTCAGACTTGCAGGACCTCGCTGCTTCAGGAGCAAGCGTGTGCAGAAAGGGGGACTTGCATTTCACGTGTTGAGGCTGTCGAACGGCTGGTAAACGTCTTTAAATACCTGTGCACCGCTGAAGCCCGTGGCGTGTGTGTGCGGAGGACAGAGCCTGCTCTGGAGGCTCCCGAACGCCGGCTTTGCCGTGGGCTGTTCATGAAGGCGACGGAGCAGGTGCTGTCTGGCAGGCAGGTTACTTGCGAGGTCAGGAACAGAGCTTCAGGAACTGCAGATTATTTTTGGTTGGGCTTTTTTTTTCTTTTTTGCTTCAGTTCCTCAGTAAAGAGCGCTGCCGTGGGCGAACTCGCTGCCGTGGGTGCTGGCGAGTCGCCGCGCCGGTCTGTCCTGGCGGGTCCAGCCCCGCGTCAGGAGATGAGCATCTTGAAAACGCACGTGAGGGATTTAGACCAGCGAATACTTGGCAAGCCGGGAGCGTGATTCAGGGTAAGAACGCCTGTGTGCGAGGGCACATGTGCGTCCATCTCCCTCCTCTTCGCTGGCTGCTGGGAGGAGCCGTCCCCTGCTCCGAAGGAGGGAGCTGTACAGAGGAGATCGGTTAAATAACGTTTAACTGCTTAATTACTGTCCCGTAGTTATCCATCATCTCACGTAGTTACCCATCTCACGTAGTTACCCGTCTCGGTTATCTTCTAGGATTCTGTGATTCATACGATTCTGTGGTCCAGTTGCTGTGGGGTTAGTAGCAATTCACCTAGAAGAGAATTTAAAGATCCTGTCTGAAATAACGGGGTGCAACCTGGAATTCGGTGGGACGAGCCTGCAGGAGGCCTCTGCCGCGCCGTGCAGCCGAGCGGCCCCGCGGCTGGGAGGTCCGGAGCAGGCTCCGCTCCCCGGCGCAGCTCTGGAGCTTGGCGGCCTCCCCAGAGCGCGGGACGTGGCTTTGTCCCGGTCGCTCCCGTCTCTACAACGCAGCCTTACGTGTTTGCGCTTCGGCGTTTCCAGAGCCCCTCTCTGCAGTCAGGAAGGCGATTTATTCGATTTCTTGCCCCGGTTTCTCTTCATTGCTTTTGTCTGTGCAGAGGACGAGAAAACAATGTTGTTCTTCGTTCCTGCTGTGGCCGTGCAAGCTTCGGTCCAAATTTGCTGCGTGCAGGGAGGGCTGAGGAAGGGGTGAGCACCCCGGGGAGCGCCCGTCTCTCCGGGCCCTCCGCCTTGCCTGCCGGCTCCCGTGCCTGGCTCCGGGGTGGCAGGGGGGTGGAAGCAGCCCGAGCTCGTCCTCCTGCTCCTCTTTCCCCCTCTTGCACCCCCCGAAAGCTTCGGGGCGATAACCACCCTCCCTCACCAAGCTTGACGTGGTTTTACCAGAGTCCTCCTCGCTTTAAAAGCTTTTCCTAGAGAGATGCTGAGAAATCCTCCGCCACGGGAGCAGCTCGGCAGTTCTAAAGGCTGCTCCAAGGGTGAGGCATTGGCAAACGAAGAAAACGATGCAGCGTTTAATGGGATTGCTCGCGGCCCTGCCCTGAGCGGGTCGGCGGGAGTTTGGGGCGGCTTTGTGCCCGGGGTGGGCGAGGACGGCGGCTCGGGGGCTTCCCCTTGGCTCGAAGCCCCGCCGCCCGCTCCCTTCCCTGCCTGCTCCCAGCCCGAGGCTTCCCGGGGCCGGGAAGATGGGATCCAGCATCGCCTCCCGTCCGGCTGCGAGGCGGAGCATGACCCCGGCGGGTGTCAGGGTCCGGGGAGGGGGACGTATCCGTGAATCCCGGTTCTGCTCCGCATCCGCTTCCCGGCTCCCCGGACCCGCTTTAGGCCTGGCCCTTCCCTTCGAGGTGCCGGAACGTCAGGGTCCAACCGGGTGAGTGCTGCAGCAGCTCCGGGGAAAGGTGCAGGAGCTGCGGCGGCCTCTTAACTGGGAATTTAGAGGGGAAAAAACGGCTTGTCCCCCCAGGGTGATGGGGGGGCGGGGGGGGGAAGAAATCGAGGAAAAATGAGGTTAAAAAAAAGCCAAACACCATTTCTGAACGTTGCTCCCCAAAATGTGTGGTGCCGTGCTTCATCCTGTCACGTAACCCTGCTGCAGAGAAGTTTATTTAGAAGTTTAATAAACTGGCTGCAGATGGCGGGGTTTCGGTCCAATCCCTGGAGTTTTTGCAGCGGCTTTGCCCCTGCCCTCGCAGGATTTTTCCTCCCCCGTGCAGCCCGGCCGGACCCCGCGCCCCAGCTTGTTCTGGTGTTTCAGGGTCTCGCAAAAGGAACGGCCCTCGCAGGGCTGGGGCCGTGGGTGCGATGTGACGGGGCCGTGGGTGCTCGGGGCAGCACGGACGGCTCATAGAGTCACAGAATCACAGAGTCGTTAAGGTTGGAAAAGACCCTTAAGATCATCCAGCCCAACCGTTAACCCAGCACTGCCAAGGCCACCACTAACCCATGTCCCTCAGCACCACCTCTCCCCAGCTTTTAAATCCCCCCAGGGATGGGGACTCAGCCCCTGCCCTGGGCAGCCTGGGCCAGGGCCTGACAGCCCTTTGGGGGAAGAAGTTTTTCCCAATACCCAACCCAAACCTGCCCTGGCGCAGCTTGAGGCCGTTCCCTCTCGTCCCATCGCTTGTTCCTGGG